ATGTCCTCCCCTGGGGTGGGATGGATAGGTTTATTGGGCCCGCAGTAATCAGTGCAAGCTGTTGCGGTGTCCCTGCCGGTTGGCGAAGCTAAATGAAATAAAATAAAATGAATTTGGCTGGGAATCGTGTCCGGAGACTCTCCGGAAACTATAGCAAGCCCTGTAACAAGATAACCAGTGAACCAGAATGACTTCTCTTTTTGCCGCATCGGTGTATTGCATCCGTGGTCTGTCCACTAACTGATATTTTTTTCCCACACAATGCAAAACGTGCAAAGGACAAGTTTTTGTCAATGATTGCCTTGTTGCCCATTGTCTTGCCCGTCGTCATCTTCCCTCGTCCTCTTCTTTTTTAATGAAATCAACCAAAGCCCTACTTCGTTTCACTCCACCGCCTCCGTTCGCCATAACTGAAACCAAGTATTGACTAATGCATTCTCTAATTGTACTGACTGACGCTTTTGCAAGCGCGGCCAATTGCGTTGACATCTGTGGCATGCACCCATTTTATTGTACTTTATAGGCAAAATAACTCTTTCATTGCCTCTGTTCCGATTTGGCTTCCGACGAATTATTGACTGAACAATTTTATTTCCACAATACCATACCTAGAACAAACCTAGCTGTCAGAGTAGCTGGCACAGTATTCGGAATAGCTGGTGAAATGTGCTGGTTGCCGGCTTAACTAGACAACCTTGATATACCAGTGCAACTTTGAGCGCAAAATTCAGGAATTATGATTTATCCTTTATTTTTTTGAGTGAGAACAAGAAACTGCCAATTCCTTGAAAATGCAATTTTTTTTCTCATTTTTGTTTTCCTTTAAGTTTTTGAAACAAATTTAAAGCAAAGTGAGGGAAGCAGGGTGGGACATTTTTTTTTTCCTAGACTGATTCACATCAACCCGTCCAGCACAACACAGTCAGCTTTGTTATGTTTTCAGGTTAGAAGAATTCTAAGACAGTATAACACACAAGATGTGGGTCCAACAACTCAGATTATATTCATAAGAGCACATGGCAATACAAGGGGCTGCTATATGCTATGTGGGCTCACAGAATTTTCCAACACTAAACAGTCAATATTAAACATCTTAATCACTATAACAAGCTTTTACTAACTAAAGTTTTTCTATGGGATTATGCAAGCAGGGCTAGACAGGTCATTTGATAAATCTGTATATCTGAACTGTATATCAACTGCATCTTATATAAAGTCTGTCGTGAACCATATGGCTGTAAACTTATAGCTATGGACTTTACAGCATTGTAATGAACAATTTCATTCATAACCTTGAGAAGGGGGTAGGGAAAGACAAAAAACACCTACCCAAGAATGCTGTTTAGTTTTGCTTCACTGCATTTCCAGATGAGTTTGTTCCAAAATTGGATGTAGCTGTCTTCTGACAAAAACTCACATGTGTGTAGGGGATAACTGAAATGGTGAGGTGTAATCAGTAATCAGTAAGGAAATATGAGCTGATATTTGCCACCCTCAGTATCTTCCAAATAAATATCCATAGGAGAAGCTGCTCTTAATCCCATTGATGATGCATCTTCTATTTGATCATGGTCCTTATTTAAGAGCAGACAAACCTCAACTGTGCTTAAATGTGTACTCATGATAAACGCATCTTAAGTGAAAAGCTTTTCCCAAAGCCAGTTTGTAACACTGTCAGGTGATCTTTTTTGGAGACCAGAGTGGAAATTGTATCTTTTGCTTTTCTTGTAATGTGGATGACGTAGCATGTTCCAATAAATGCTCCAGAGCCATCTTTAGGGCAGAATTGAAACTGTCATTTTCACCTTTTGACAAAGTTTCCCATCCTTTTTTTCTACAAGAGCCAAATGAAACAGTTTGGCTTGTAATTGACTGGTCTAGTTAAACTACACCAATCAGAAGTTCAGTTTACGGGTGAACAGAGTTTCCTAAAAGAATAATGACTTCAGGCAGACATGATTTCTTTTGCCCTAGCGTGCAGAGCAGGTGTTCTAGTAAAGTTTGGGCGAAAATCAGACCACAGGAAAAATGGAGCGAGGCGAAAAATTAGGAGGTGAGGGGAGGGGGAGAGGAGAGAAGGGAATGCCTGCCAGCACTTAATGATGTTTTCAAATACGCCTCCAGATTAATTATGCATTCCGAAATTTGAGCTTCGAGAAAACAAATAATCAAGGAACGGCATATTTCCAGGGGAAATAAAGGTTAACACACGTGGAATGATGTCAAATACAAATAATAACACGAACATTCATGGAAGCAAAGGCGAACGATTATTGTGGATTTTGAGTTAAATTCGGAAAACCAGGGACAGAAAAGTCTTCTTTCCTATCTTTCAAAAATAAATTAATAAATAAATTAAATAATATTTAAGCCATCGAAAAGATAAGACTAGACTGGAATCGTTCTTGTGGATATTTATGAGCAAGTTGGTCAAAACTGTTCAGAATGATGCTGCAACCTGTGTGCACGTACAGTTATAAATTTAGGACAGCTTTACAGCTTTATAAAGAGTAAAACAATCCAGATTTCAACTCCATCTAAGTGTATAAAGGAAGGGGGAAAAAGACCATTAGTGAGCCCTTCTTGGTGAAGATCAGAAGCTGCCAAACTAAAAAGTGTTTCGCGCGGTCATGCCAGGACCAAACAGCAATTCGAACTGCAAGAGCTCTGCTTCTCCCATTGTAATTTGGCTTAATGCTCCTGCTTTGAGGCCCAAAAAATTCTCTTTGGATACTTGGTCCTCTAGAATACTTTTCAAAGGATGAACAACGATTACAGTACAGTTTTTCTTTAGCATCTCCTTCCTTACAGCTATAACGAGCAGTTAGAAAATAAGGATTTTACCAAAGCCAGTCGGCGAAACAGGTAGTAAATCGCCCCCATAGACAAGTTGCCTCAAACTGTGTAGTTGTTGAAGTTTGAGATCAAATCAAAATTCAGTAAACGACTCCTGATAAATCCAAAGAAATGTTTAGCGCCCTCATGAAGTCTTGTTCGAAGGATTCGGCCATTTTAAAAGTGCTACAATGGTTGTGTAATGTAGCAAGATTGATGTCTATCAATCAGACTAAACATGAAAAGCCAATCAGAAGCATTCGTTCGTCCGTGAACGAGTGTTTGAAAATAACAATAAGTGCTGGCAGGCGTTTCCTTCTCTCCTCTCCCCCCACCTCCTAATTTTTCACCTCGCTCCGTTTTTCACGCGGTCTAATTTTCGCTTAAACAGATACCCTCTCCTTCCTTTTCATGGTCACTCACCCCTTTAGTTCTATTTTTTTTTTCTCTTCCTAACCTTCCACTGTGGTAAAACTCAAAGATGGCAGATCTAATGCTCTTTAAGAACATACTGAGCAGTTCCGCCCCAGCCTTCTCTGTAGTCTGTTTCACTTATTTTCAGTCAAGGTTAATAACATGCTGTTAGGAGGTTAATGCTGATTGGCTTTTGTTGCATTCCTTAAAGTGACAGCGTTATGCATGATATTTGTTGTTTGCACTTACCACACTTTGACATCATCTGTGACTTATTTCTGGACTGATGCACTGCAGCATGGAATCTATTTGTTGTGTAGATGTTGTAGTTCAATTTTATCCTTGGTTCAAATTTTATTTTCCTTTGTTTCAAACTCATTATCATACATTAACATGACCGAGAACAAAGGAAAAATAATAAAATTTGAACCAAGTATAAAATTGAACTACAACACATTTATTAACATAGAAGCATATTATGCTTCTAAGTTAATAAATGTACCTACTTTTTGATTTTTTTTTTGCAGAAATCATTGGAAATGCCTTAAGTTATGCACTTGGTAAAGGAGGAAAGTCTCCTGAAATCTCAGAGGTTTGTGAAATTGATTAACTTTCCCTTAAAATTGATAAAGGAGGTAAAGATTATAGTCCACTCATAGTGGTTATATTTTACATATATAGCTACATGCAAATTTTTTGTCAGGATGGTGAAATTATATCAAACAAGAGATGTTACCTATAAGTCAGTTTTAGAACAGGGCCATGTTCATTAGGCATTGGAGATCAGAGAATTCTCTGGCAACTAAGCAGAATTCTCAGGCTAAATTAGACGGCTGGTTGGGCTGTATTACTTAATACTTTTATTCAGATGTGGAGCCGTTATGAACTAGGATTATATTTCGCAAAAATGCTTTCTTTCTTTCTTTCTTTAAGCAAATGCATGGAACGTTTTAAACAAACAATCAGTGTTTGTTCAAAACAATGTTTTTTTTAGAGTCATGTCACGGACGTAACATGCTGGACGTAATCATATTTTTACAAATTTTAACATCCTGTCAACGTGAATTTAACTTGAAGCTACTGACTTTAAATGGCTAAATAAGAAGCGAATGAAAATATAAATGAACTTTGTTCAAGTGCTGGGAGAATTAACCTAAAAGATTAAATGAATTGGGACACACAAATATATTATAGAAAAACTTGTTGACGACCTGCAGCTGTGTATTAAGTACTATTACACAAAATTCTTGTTCTAAGAGTTAAAGAATACGTTGGAAAAATAATTGAGAAAGGCATGAAAAGAAAACTTGGCCAAATTCTAGTGGATAAACTGAACTTAATTTATGGGAAAAATATGATTTTTGTGATGTCAACTGCTATGCAAATTGGAGACGTTTATCATATCATGATATGGGTCCATATGAGTATCAAATTACTGCTACAACAAAATGCAAATCTCCATTTTAACCAATTCCTGGTAAATAGAAACACTATAATTTGTAACCGTATAAGGATCAAAAATGGTATATCCATTGATAATGATCCTTCTCATGCATTCAAGAAATCGTTCAGTAAACAAGAAATGTGGTAATTTTTGCCGAAACTGAGTGAATTCCATCTAGCATGCCGGTTGCCAACAGGCTGGTTGGAATAAGTTTTCTCACCTCTTGTGCTTTTGCTAAAAGCATGGAAAGTGATGTCATTGGAGACTCACACAGTGGAGTTGATGAGTAGACTTAACCCTTTCCCTCCTGAAAATGACTCCCCCCCTTTCATGTGAAAGTTCATGATGCAGTGTATATCATTTGAGGAGAGAGATTGTGAGTATTTGATATGACTTTAGGAGTAAAAAGGTTAGAGCTCTTGATTTAACCTTACTTACTTGCTTGCTAACCAAATTCAAAGAACAAAACAGTAAGGTATGCACTGTTTTAAAATCAGCAACTGGGAACGAAATTTTACCTCAGATGATAGGAAATAGCATTTTAGACGGTTTAAATATCCACAATTTTCCAAGGGGGCATGCCCCCAAAACCCCCTTGAGGGGAACAAGCTTTTCTTGTTCCATGAAAGAGCTGTGCTCATTCAGACTGCCTCTCCTGCTACTTCCCATTCTCCTGCTACTCTAATTTTTAATGAAAATTCTGTAGAAACATTATTTTTAAGTTTTAGCTTACAGTTGTGAAGCTTCTTAATTATAATAATTTCTCAAAGAAATATTTGATTTATACTTAATATTTTTCCCCCAAACAAGGACTCTCTTTACCCTTACTGTTCAGCTGCCATGCACATGGCTCCAACCACTTTTTGTAAGTCTCCAGTAAGGAGCCAAAATATACCTCAAGACAAAAATTATAGCTGAAATTATAATCATTATGATTGATTTTCATCTAACATGAAGGGCTTGACACTAACTTTTCAACTTAATTACTAGCCAAGTGGTAAGTGACAACTTAAATGTTACAACAATTAATTTCTGTTTGTTTACTAGCCAAACTGGCTGGTGGAAATTGAAACCCACTAGCCAAAACTGAATTTCTACAGTACAGTCTGTGGCTTGTTGGCTACCATTAGTGTCCAGGCCTGACATGTTGTACATAATTATTAGATTTTTCAGTAGCCAGCCATAATAAAACAGTGGCTAGTGGTAAACACGTGATTCTTCCAAGGATACAAGCATCTACTTCACTAAAATCCACTCCACTTGCTTTAAGTTATTTTTTTCCTGTCCAGTTTTATTCAGACTTTTTGGGTAAATAAGAAATGAAGCTAATATAAGTTTAAAATTTATTGCACATTGATAAAAGTTTTTCACTGTTTTGTCACATTAGAGTAGCCAGCACTACAGAAACCAGTAGCCAGTGAAAATTTCAGTGACTGGTACTTGTGGAGAACACTAATAAGTGTTGCAAAGCCTATTGAAGAATTTTGCTGTCATGATCTATTGCTGCATGTTGTTGTAAACAGTGCCTTTTTGAATACATTGCAGGTGATTGACTATGAAGTTCCTATGATAGTGCTGGCATCCCTCTCTTTGATTGCTGCATTGATTATGCCCATTGTTGGTCTAGTGTTTTGCTGTTGTCGCTGTAGAGGAAAATGTGGCAGCATTATTTATGATGATGATGAACTCAAACAGCATCCCACTAAAGAAAGAATAGGGTACTCTCTTGGAATCCTTCTTTGTGCATTTTTACTGATGTAAGTGTGAATTTTGAAGTATTTCTTCATTTTGCTTTATTCACAAATACAAGTATGTCCATGTTGGAAAATTTTAACGTTATCATGCTGACACAGTGCAATATATTCCTTCTTCATTTTCCCTGACAGGACAACTGTCCTTTCTAATCTTCCTTTTATCAACTGAAGATATTGCTTAATTCAGGAGAAATCAGTTGATCAGGGTAATGAATTGAATTGTCACTGTCATCAATTGAAGGGAAAAATAAAGGTGCACTGTTGAGTTCTGCTGATGCCATATTAGAACATGATGCAAAATTGTATGGACTATCTTTTGTTGAATTTTGACCAGATGGTGTCCCATGCATGGCTCACTGCTATTTCTTGCATGGCAAGTCATGGACTGGAATCAACTTCTTTCCTATGGTTGGGAGATGCAGTTCCCACACTAGCCTTCATATAGGTGTACTGTAAGACTTCGTTTTGTTCTTGGACAGCTGGCCTTTCAACTTCCCTCTTTTTTCCCATGCACACCATCACAACAGCTGGGAGGTGTGATGGCCTCATGATTAGTGCGCTCGACTCCAGATTGAGTCGTCCAAGGTCGAGCCCTGACTGGGGACATTGTGTTGTGTTCTTAGGCGAGACACTTTACTCTCACAGTGCCTCTCTTCACCCAGGTGTATAAATGGGTACCAGCAAATTTAATGCTGGGGGGTAACCCTGCGATGGACTAGCATCCCATCTAGAAATACTCCAGTCTAGCCACTTCATGCTACGGGAAACCAGATTTAAGTGCCAGCTGGATGGGCCACTTGGCTTATATACAAACACCATCACAACAGTATCCATATTCCCCACACCATTTACTATAATAATACTTTTCCTATGGTATCAACAATGAGAATTTGTTCAACAATCAAGAGTTTTTTTACATGGTGATAATTTGCATGGCCTTCATGTTTAATTCAGGGTGATGTGTAAGGAGAAATAGTTACATACAATATCAGGAATGAAGGGGTTAAACTCGGAAGTACCATCTACTGTTATAATTAATGATTGTCTGACAATATCCTATTGGAAGTGATCAGTAGAGTCAAAGTACTGTTGTAAATACTTCAATCCATGTCTTCAACAACAGTTCTACAACAGAATACTCCTTCCTTGTTGATCAGCCCACATCATCAATTTTCTTTTCACTCTGTGTTGTGTCTTTTAGTGTTTCAGGTGGCTTTATTTTAGCTTCAAGCATTCAAATGAATGACAGTATCCCACATGCAAGAATGATGTGGAATGACTCATTTAGTGATGTAAAAATTTACACAGGCAATTTACTTCAGGTAAATGATAAACTACCTGTATGTAGACTTTCATGGATCTGTATATTCATGATGGAGCTTGTTTGACACTTGAACAGTGTTTGATTGTGCTGCGAAGTGACCTGTATAAAATTAATGTATTAATTGTGTACAAATTTCAGGAAATAAATCACATACTACTTCAAGAAGCTGTTCCCACAATCAACGTTTTGTTTGATGAAGTTATTGGTGAGTTTTTATGGGCATAGGACATACATTTGTATTAATAATAATAATTATATAGTTCTTAAAAACGCATTATACATAAGTCTCAAATGAATGCTTTTGCATAAGATTTAAAGTAATTACAAAATAAGATGAAAATTAAATGATAAATTCAAAGTGATTATAAAAAGGTGAGTCTTGAGCCTGGTTTTACAGGAATCTAAGGTTTTGAAATATCTTATAAAATAGGAAGTTTGTTCCAAAACATAGGGGATGCACATGCAAAGGATCTGTTGCCATAGGTAGAGGTTCTAGATCTTGGGACAGACAGATTGATGGACCTTTAGGAATGGAGGGAGACAAGTGTATAGCGAGTTATGTAACAGATTTGCCAAGTATCATGGATATAAATGATTTTTTTGACAACTGGAAGAATTTTTAGGTTAATTAATCAGTGCTTCTGACTAAGTACTAATTTGGCTATTCTGAAATCCAACATGCCTTTTGGAATTGGCAGAAATGCCAGAAACATCTTGTAAGCCCATAATTAGAGTTTTTCTTGGCATGTCATACTTTCTGTTCTAATATTATTGTCCTTAGTTAAAGGTTTGGCCAGGATCACAATGTTGTTTTCTTGGGAAATTCACTGAACCATGATAATATTGTATCTATCTAACCTTGAAGTAAATAAGTGTTTTTGCAGACAACACTCTGTTATCATGGTGGGTTGTTGAGCATGATAATGAGTAGGCAGAACTACCCATTTCATTGTGGTTAAGAGTGCAACATACAGTACTTGCTTATTGGGATCTCATGCACAGCCATAACCCTTGGGACATGCAGGCCTGGAAGAACTTAGAGGGGTAGCAGTTTCTGCATCATATTAATCATAAATATTGCCTCAATCCACGGGGACTGGAATTATTCTATTTCCTTCAAGGTTACTAACTATTAAAGAGATGCTCTTGGGTGTCAAAGGAAAGCTGCCTGGTTAAGAGACAAAAGACTAACGGACGGTAGTCTTAAAAATTTTCTATGAAGTTTGTCACAATTATTCCTGTCTCACATAAAACTAGTATTTCCCCAGCCAAAGGTTAACAAATGCTTACATTATAATGAATTTAGAGTGCTCATCTGGTTCAGTTGCTAAGTGTGCAAATGTACAATGTAGAAACACTGCATTTTTTCCCTTTTCTGTTTTGTAGTATATTAAACTGGTGTTTATTTATTACTTTATTTAGCAATGGGAAGAGATATAGTTATCCCCATAGTACAGGCACCTGTATTCCAAGAACTCTACTCTTCTGTTAAAGATGTTGATCAAGGTAAACATATGTTTAGGCACCAGTATTCTTAAAAAGGCATTTTGATTTCATACTTAGTACTTAATTATTAACCAAGCGGGAGGTCTGTATGGAAGAATCTTGACTGAGGTCGCCAGTACCGACCGAATGCAGTGAGGTCTGTACCAGCGACCGAGGTCAAGATTCTCCCATACAGACTGACCTAGCTTGGTTAATAAGATGTTTATTATTATAATATGGCTGTGTCTTATATGCCAATTTATTATTCTTTGTACCTTTTTTTTTCTAGACTGGTCTAGATGCTGGTCTAGATGGGAAAATCTAGACTGCTTTCAATATTCAGATTTCAGCCAATCAAATTTGTGAATTTGGTAGTTCCCAGTCCTTGTGAGACACAGCCATACTATAATGTATGATAATAAAAAAAAAAGTAAAAATGATATACAGCATAATTTATACTGCACCTGGTGACCAGAATTTTTCATTTTCGAATTTGTTTTTCTGCAAAGAGGAAACTTAGAATAAGATTAACCTTAGATTGATGTTAACTGTTGTTTTTAAATATTTTTTTCCCTTGGAACAAAGCTGTCAGTTTTGACTTTTTGGCTAGGCTGGCAAGGAGTTGGGATTTGTAATAACAACATGTTATGTTCTTTTATTAATTGTCAGCTGTGACAAAGACTGCACAACTTTTTGGTGAAATAACAGTTACAAAGTCATCTCTGATTTCAAAAAGCAGCCATATTCAAAATGAACTAATTTCCATTCAGAAACAACTGGAGGCCATTCATGCTGAATGTGTAAGTAATGGAGGAGGCAGTTTGTGTGATGAAATCCCATCTGGTAAGGATGTGGAAACTGAAGCAGACTTCAACAAGGTTTGTCATTTTGTTCATTGTGACTTTCACTTTTTTGTTGTAACAAAAAACTGGCAATCAAGATATGAAGATGATGATTTGAATGCAACTCATCTGCTCTTCATCATAGATGATGGTACAACATAGGAGCAAATCTTATATCATGGATTGTACGGGGAAAAATCAGTGTTTTAGGACCTTGAAAGTATTCTCTTTCAAATCAGATGTTTATAATGAACCATTATTATTAAATATATACATGAATTTTCAATTCTTGTCACAATGTTTCAAGGAGAATATTTTTGTTGATCAGCCAATTGCTGCAATTAAGACTATTTCCTGAGCAACCTAGGGAGAATTAAGCCAGTCATTTTATGGGTAAATTAATACTGTGTACAGTGACAAATTGACTAACTATTGTGCCCAGAAGCTTTTCCCTCCACCCTTCAATGTGCCACTCTTGAAAAGCTCTTTGTTTGTCTAGTAGTTGTAAAGTGGTAGTAATGAAGTACACTGTATACAGCTGAATTCAGTCTTATCATTTCTTAATTAGGTTCCCAATGTTACTGATAGCCAAAACAAAATAGAGGATGTGGCAAAGAGTGGTCTTGGAGATGATGTTGCAAAGGTACAATTTTGAACTCCAACAACTATTGTTACAATCATGTGTTAAGTCTTGATGTTGATATAACAATTTTTATGTAGATTCTTGGTGATTTCTTAAGTTTTAAGGTGCTAAATATTTTACTTGTACACAGTTAAGAAAATGATTTAAGTATTTGCTATGTGCTGTTTGGGAGCTGTTTGCAATGGAAAAAATGTGACATTAAGGCCTTGAAAATGTGTTAGGGGGAAGCTTGTTAATACTTTTATTGATGTAATCAAAACTATAATAAAATTCTCTGATGCGATTGGTTATCACCAGCTGAATTTAGGCACTAATAGGACAGTGTACCTGTTATGCTATCAATCAGAAACTAAATGTGACTGCAATCTTTTTATCTCTTAAATTATCAGAGCAGTTACATAGTTATATAACTTATAGCTATATCGATCACTAGAACTTTGTGGTTGGTTATGAGGTCATAATATGTGAACCGTGCTCTCTTCTTTATCAAAATAGGGTAATCAGTCTCTTCAGGACATGGCCGGGAAAGTTCAAAACTTGACTACAAATTTAACTAATGGTAAGAAATATGACACATGTGAAAATTCCTGTGTGTCTTACTACTTTCAAAACATCTCTATATGCTTATTTTACCAGGATTCTGAACTTACTTCAAGTTATATTTACATAATTTACTTTCACCGGTAGATATTGCAAGAAAGCTTTGAATCTGTTTAAAAAAGCCGAATGTAGTGTTAGGAAAAAGAACTTACAGAAAATAAATTATGGAATGAAATGAAATACTTGTAAAGAAGCATTTACTGAATCCTTGAAGAGGCAATTAACATGTAACTAATTTCCTTATAGTATCTAAATCTATACATTATCCAGCAAACTGATATGGAGAATTAATACTCAAACTTATCAGGTAGAAGTTGTGTTCTTGATGTTATACCAAATTCTTGTTACTAATTCACATGGAACTGTGTAGGAGCCAGAGGGAAGAGTGTAAATTGGATCTCCTTGAACTGCTTATCACTTAGTAGTAGTTTATGGGTCAAAATATTGTACAAGTGGTACTTTGAACACAGAATTAAGAGATCACATATCACTCAAACATGCAACAATTTTTGTCTACAGAATTTCAGAATTTTACAAAAAAAATAAATGATATGCCAGTGGATGTTGTGCAGCCTTTTAGAGATGACATTAATAAGGTAATTCTTAGCCAGCATATTAGAACTTTAAAGTTTTATTTCTACACATTTCTTTGAAAATATTTTAGTTGTGGTTGTTTTTCTCATTCTGTAGTTGTTCCAATTAATGTTGTTGTGACTCTGAGTTAGGATTGCAGTGTACCTATCTTTGGAGGACCTTGTTCATGTCTTAAGTCATGAAACTAGAAAACTGTTTCAGGGTCAAATTGTTTGTTTTTTTATTTTGTTTGTTTTGTTTTTTTTTATGCTTAGAGGCCAGGGTTTTAAAATCATTCAAGAATTTCAGATGTGGTCATGAATCTTATTTCCATCTGGCCAAGTTGTCTATCACTGTTATTGCTTACAGGAGTGTTAGGTGCTGGCTTTTAGCTGCATGCTGCAAAGTTGAAGATGACTTCAGCACTGTCACCAGGGTTTTGTGGGATTGTAGTTGACTGCAGTAGCCAAACCTCAGTGTCCCTGAATGATTTAATGGGGTTTTCCCATAAACATAAATGACATCAGGCAATGCACATTAAGTGATATGTGTTTTAAAGTTTTTCTTGTCATTTGATAGTACATTGCAGATACTCTGTTTCCAATTAGAGATGATGTAGATGAGAAGTATCTTGGTCCAGATGGTTTGTTAGCCAAATATGACAACTACAGGTATATGTGTATTTGATACTTATATTTGTCATTTTACTGTTACTTGGTTTTTGTGAAGGTTGGCACTGTGTACTTCTCTTTTGGTTCTGTGTCTTCACCTTATGCAATGTCATATCTGTACAAAACTGAACTGTTTGAGTGCAAAGCAGTTCTGTTACTTTCCAATTCTCAATTTTAGGATGGGGCCAGCTTTACTGAGGGGGGAAAACAGATCAATTCTGTGTTGTTTAAGATTGTATGAGGGGTTTTGAAGAGAAGTTTTGTGTAAAGGGAGGTAGACTGTAAACAACTTACCTTATAAATAGTAATTTTATAGTCCTTGCTTTAGACAATTTTTACATTGTATGCCTCTCTCTGATATGATGTGAATATAATGTTGTGTGAAAAAAGAAGGAAAAAAAGAAAACAACAACTAAAAGTGATGTCCTTGTTTATCTTTTTTTCTGTTAGGCATACAGTCTTCATTCTGATAGGAGTTCTCTCTTTGTTGGATGCTCTGCTGTTGATAATTGCTGCGGTAATGGGCTTGTGTGGTTCTTCAAGTTATGATACACCCAGCAGTAGAAGTAATGTTTCACACAAGGGAGGAAAGCTTATGTTAGGGTTAGTTGTGGGTGCTTTCAATTGACAACCCATTTCTTAATTATGAATACTCGTGAGTAGTTGATTGGTTCAAATGCAACTACTGTAGGTATATTATTTTGTGAATAAACTCAAATAACTTTATCAAGACTGAAAATAAATTATATACAGCCTGTCTATGCATGAGTAGAATTTGTGAACTTTGAACAATGTGTAACTAATTGTACTCAGTCATCAGAAATTGCGTGAAAAATTATTTGATTGCTTATTAATCGCTTCCATTTAATCACATGCCCTGAATTTCATCTTTCTGTTCTGTTTGGTATTGATGGTTTTGTCTTAGCCAAACAGCAATTGGATTTGTTTTTTTCTGAGGTCATTGCTAGTAGAAGAAACCTACTGTAAAAGCCCGTAGATAAGCCGCATCCGCAGATAAGCTGCACCCTGAATTTAGCAGCTCAGATTTTGGATAAAAAGATTTTTTGAAAGTAATCAAAAGAAATCCAAAGTCAAGTCTTGAGAAGTCTTCTTCATCCACTGTTCATGGAATGTAAACTCACTATTAACATTGCAACAGAAAATACTTCAAAGTCTTTACCCACAATTTTAGCATTCTAATATAATGAACATCATTTCTACCAACTTTGAGATATGATTGGTCTTTTTCTAGTATTTGTTGACAGGAATTTCTTGATTCAACACAGTTTTTCCATATATTTTTGCATTACAACAACATTACAGTCGAAGCTTAGTAACCAGGCATTACCTAGATCTGATGCATTAATGAAAATTGGTGTCAACATTCACTACACCTTTTTCAAATGTTCCTGCAGATAAGCCATGCCCCCAATTTCTAGCAATGATTTTTGGAAAAAAAGTGCAGCTTATACACAGGCTTTTCGAGTAGTCATCTATAATAGTTGGAGTCACTTAAAATCTTATTTACATGTACTTTTAAAAACTCCAAGAGTTCCCTCATTTCTTTATCACTTTTTGTTTATGGATACATGCAACCATTAGTTTTTGTTTTTTGTGTCATGTATTAAAAAAAGTCAATTATTATAATCATTAAGCTTTGACTGATTGCTTTGTAAGAGATTAGTAGAATAATATACTCTATCCTGTACAAAACACGCCAGACTTTGTTGTTACTGAACTGCTTTTAGCATATTTCTGTATTTACAGAATAGTTTTTGGTTTTTGCTGATTCTGGTGGCACTGTCAATTTTTTAAATGTTTTGCCAAAAGGTTAATCATGATTTGCAGATTGTGTCATGACCTCATTCATTGATTTGTCTGTTTATACATGCATTCATTCAATTTTAGCAGTCATTCCTCTTGTGCTGTTTATGAACTATAGTTGGATTACTGACCTCCTGGAGATTTAAAATAACTAAAGAAGATGTAATATTCAGGAGGAGTGTTATTAAGGTTTATAGTTAAATGGAAATATTGACTTGACCATTTTATTTTTTTCCGATTTTCTAGAGCTGCTGGTCTGTTATTCTTTTCTGCATTTCTGATTAATTTGTTGACTGGTATCACCTTTCTTTTGGGAACAAACATAGCTGTTGCTTGTGATGGCATACCTAATTATAAACTTCTTGAAAAGGTATCACTTTGTTTTGGATTCATTTTACCCATATTTGTAATAGTCTAGTTATTTTATTTAGCATCGGAGGATTTCTCATAATAAAAATTATTCTCGCACTTTCCAGCAAATAACAGAAATTTCTGGATGCATGATGTTAATTTATCTTGTCTTCATTCCTTTTAACTGTTAAGAGTTTGACTGTTTGCTCTGTGCTTTCAAACCTGATACATACATAAGGCGTTACACTTTGATTGGAAATTGAAAAATTACTTAAATTCAGGTTTAAATATTGTCAAATCAAACTTTGTTGCCCGTATTGTACCTTATGGAGCAGCTGCCTTTTTAAATAATTAATGAAACTAATTAGTTATTTGGCAATTAAAGCAAAGCACAGATCAGCACAGTTGTTCTTAGGCTGCTGACAGATGATTATTTCTATGCTATTCACCTCCAAGTTAATACTTTAATTTCAGCTAGTATAATCAAATGAATTTGGGAAATTTATTTGCAACGAATAAGCGATGAATAAGTGCAAAAATGTATAACCTTTTTTTGAGGACTTGATTGCTAATGTATGCTGTTGTATTTAGCCACTTATTTGTAATAGTTGATTTTCTTAGACTATAGATGACCCAACAGTTATGGGAGGAGAGTACATGCTGGGTAAAATGATCTTAAAAAACGGAACTATTCCATTGACATTGTCTGGAGTGCTTGAGTAAGTTTTGTAGAACATACATGAAAGACTGAAAGCATCTTGTCTTTGAATGGATCCAAAGATTCATCATGTTCATATTTTACTTTATATATTCCACCAGATATTTTCTGATTGTGCATGGTGCCGTGGTGACAATTATTATTAATTAGTTGATAGTTTTCCCATGGAAATTCTTCCATTTCTGGAGACACAGGGAATTGCATGTATATTACTCCAAAGAAATCCAGACAGTCTTTTATCTCTTCTCGTTAACCCCTTCCCCCCTTAACCCCTGCCCCCCTTAACCCCTTCCCTCCTTAACCCCTGCCCCCCTTAACCCCTGCCCTCCTTAACCCCTGCCCCCTTAATCCCTGCCTCCCTTAACCCCTGCCCCCCTTAACCCCTTGCATTGGCATTTCCAATTATCTTGAGGCTTATGTTTCACTGGATGATGGTGATGATCAATGACAAATGATGTCTTACTTAAAAATTAGGAGAAGTGAATGATCATATTGAAAGTGTTTTATATTGTTTGCACTTTTTCACATATTTTAGCGTTTGCCACATTTTATCGTCTTCAACCTGCTTCAACATATTTATGCTGATTTGGAAAACTTACTCACTTGAAAATGACCTCAGAGAGGTCCAAACGTCGTGACTTCTTAGCGCTAGTTTTATGCTGTGTTATAGTACTCAAGCAAGCTTCAAAATGTTGTGGTCTCGTGTTACAATTTGTCTTGTGTGAACTTCTAGGGAATGTTACAAAAATGAAGCTCCCTGGGATGTTCTTAAGATGGACTATTTATTTAATCTCTCTGTTGTACTTAACTACAAAGATGTAAGTTTTAAAGAAAGTTTCTTTTTATAATCATGTTCAAATCAGATTACAATCTGCAGTGCTTAAGTTCAGTGTGTGTCATGGTTTCTACTATGTTGCTGGGGCTGTCTGATTAAGTCTAATGTGGATGTCAATAACTAAGTTTTATAAAACATTGGATTTTGGAGTGGGATGGAGCTTTCCTTTTATTATGTTAATGTAGGTGTGAACCTTTTTAAGGGCTTCAGGTAGTGATGATCAAGATAATGATAATGATAATAGAAAGAATGAGAATTACGATGTTGATAATAGTGTTAATTACATAGTGATGATAAATGTCTTTATTTTCTGCACTGATATGGCTTTTCAGCAACTACTCAAATTGGATCTGATTAGAACATCAAACCTCTGCAAAATACTATCTTATAATTATATGAATATCGTAAGAACTAGATTCCTCCCAATATCCCATTTATTTATTTATTTATTTATTTTATCTTTAAAAAGAGGGAGGCTCTCTATTTGATGCAAGTCTCTGTATTAACAGGAGAGTATTTGAAAAAAGTGAAATTGATTTGTTTGAACTTCAAGTCTCTTTTTAGAGATACAATTAATGTAGCTGACTGCCCATGAATGGCTGAGTATAGGCGTTTGGTTTCTAGACTTCAATCTTGCATTTTTTACATTTTCCTCTTTTGTGTACTATTAGCAAATCCCTGAACTGGATGCAGTGTTTGCTACCCTAAACGAAACTATTACGGATACTGAAGTTATTCCTGAAAAAGCCAAGCAAAGTGTAAATGACTCGTTGAATGCTGGAGTGTCAGACATTAACTACACCCAGTATCATGAACAGGTAAAGTATGAACAGAAGGTTTTTTATTGTTCATCAATCATTAGCATGCATAATGATGAACTTGAACATTATTTTCATTCATCATGATGTCCTTGCTAAACTTGACTTTACAGAGGATTTCATACAAAATCTGCACCATCTGTGTTGGCTGTGTTTCTGAAAAAAAATTGTTAAAATTTCAAACAAATCCCCTTTCTTTGAGATTTGGTTTCTAGACTTCAATCTTGCATTTTTCACATGCTGGAATTTCAACTCCAATTCCTCCAAAGACTCTGTGAATAGCATCCCAAGGGAAACCCCTTGTAACAGACAGGATAGAGATATACAAGCAAATTGTGGCCAAGAATAGGCAAGTAGATGAATGGTCCGACAGACAAGCGGGCTGGCAGACTGACAGACAAGCAGACATGATGGAAACAGTCAGACAGACAGACAGACAGATAGATAGACAGGTGATCAGAAGGTCAGATGGATGAATGACGGACAGATCATTGTAGACAGGCAACTGCATAATGAAGATCAGGCGAACAAATTATTTACCAGAATAGCAATGAATACATCTTCACATTCATCGAGCATGTGGCACTATATAAAGCAGAAAGCAATTGCCTTTATTGTGGATTATTGATACACGTAAAAACCATATGTAAAAACCATAATTATTATGAGATACAATGAAATATATGAAGTTCATATATTTTGTACTGCGGTATTAGATACATATGATGCACGATCCTCGCAGTAGATAGCGCTATTTAAGCAATAGCGAAAATCAGACCTGAAAAAAATCAGGCCTGTACGGGA